GGCGGGGGCGGGGGCCACCGAAAGCCCGGGAGTCCCTCCGGCCCCTGGTGGGCACCGGTCGTGGCGGGCCTGCTCAAGGCCGTGTAGGCCCGTGGGCCGGTATAGGCCCGGGCGGGCACCGGGACCAGAGCAGGCCCTGCCGGGGTAGGCCGCCTAAGCTCGATAAACCGGCACCGCGAGGAAGCTTGAATTATGCAGCGAGAGAGAGGGAGAGCGGGAGAGTGTGTGTGGAAGAGAGAGAGAGGGGGGGGGGTGGACCCTTATTGCTGCTCCTGCTGCTCCTGCCGGTCTGATGATCGCTGGATGCTGCTGCTCTGCTGGACCCCTGGCCTCGCTGGCCGAGCAGAGAGGCCACGCCCGATTGGTTGGAAGCAGCGCGGGAGCGACCAATCAGAGCGCGCGTGACTGTCGCCCTCTCGCTCGCCTCGCCCGGCCAGGCCAACGCCTCGCCTCCGAGCGCGCCATCCGAGCGATACGCGATCATTTGTGCCGTCCGCCTGAGCGAGACCCGTGATAGCCACATTATAGGCGTCTATCGACGACAACAACCCCCGACCCCCCTACCCCCACTACCCCTCCGACCAGCCAGTCGCATCCCCCGCACCCTCTCCACACCCCACCCGACTGGTCGCGCCTATACCCTAGGATCACCTAGAAAAAGGACTTCTTGATTCAAGGCAAATTTCGGCTTGTTTTCGCTATTCTTGGTTTTTTGGAGACAATTTTATTAAATCAAGAAAAAGGTTTCTCCGAATTAAGAAATAAAAGTTGAATCTAGAAAATCGGCTTTAAAAAACCAAGCCCAAGAATGCTGTTTGCTGGGTGTTCGCCTGCGCCCTGCGCCCTCCCCTCCCCTCCCCACACCAGCCCTCCCTGTCCTGCACCCCATCTCCCCCTCTTCCATTTCCACGACCACCGCCGTGCCCCTCTTCGCCTGCTTTGGCAGGAGCAGGCATTTCAATAAACCTGTTAATCAGCTCGGATGAATCTTCCCCCCTCCAGGGGTAGCGGGTTGGGGGTAGTCAGGGCCGCGTCAGGCGGTCCCCTTTCCCCCCCATCACGGAACACGCCACATAGGGTCAAAACTGTTTATTTCGGTCCAACAAATAATACAAATTTGGCAGGTTTAAAAAATTGCGGCTTTGCAAGCAGGAACTGAATTTCTACACTTGTATTTCTCTAAACCAGTCTTTTCTCCAGGTATTTTTTTGTCGTCCTCTCCCGCGCCCAATATTTGCCGGGTACCCCACCCGGGTGTATTTGGTGTATTTAGATTGTCTAGCTGCACTGACCGCACCGAAGAGCGAGAGAACTCCCTCTCTGCATTGACGCCGTTGGATAAAGAACCCACCTATTACCGCTGCACCGCTCGCTCCGTACCGTGCACATCTCTTTCTCTCTCTCTTTCTTTTAAAACGAGGTCGTATACAACATAATGGCTCTTATGCACGGAGTTTTTCGCTCGTGCGATTTTATGGCGTACCAACTAGAGACGCGGCCAGGGGAGCCGGCAGCAGAGGGGCGGGGCGGGGCGGGGCGGGGCGCGGGCCCAGCGGAGCGGAGATGCGAGTCCGGGGGGCGTCGGGAAGCAGCAGGTGCTGGCGGCGGGTGCTGCCGGTGCTGCCGGACACCGGAAATAAAGTCGAAATCCTTACATTACAAACTTAATTTTACTCTTTATTCTTCAGAGAACACCAATATTTTGGTGTCATAAAATGCCAACCAGTTTACAGTAAATTGTAGGATGGAAGACTGCACTTACTAGAAGTACCAGCTGATCAACACGCGCGCAGACAGCTAAACCTTACGAAGCAAAATGCCAAATCGTTCGCACCGACGATGGATTTCGCATTATTTTTTTTCGTTAGGTTTTAACAGTGCACTCGTTTGCTAAAGGTGGGCCTTTGTAAATTTAGCAAACTGTTTGCTGTTGAGGGAAAATGTGTGCTGAAATAGCAAAAACTTTGCTGAATCAGCAAAATTATGTGTTGTTACCATAGCTGCTAACTTTTTCCTTCTGATATGGTAACAGCAAACATTTTTGCTGTTCCAGCAAACAGTTTGCTAATTTACACAATCCCACTTCTGTTTCAGCAAACACACCATTTTGCGTGAGAATATATGCGAATACATGCTGCCTTTTGCTGAGGTTCTCCGTGGCGCTTCCTCTCGCATCTTTAAAATATTAAAATTCCAACGGTGGAGCGTGGCTAGCTTGAGCGGCTGGCCGCCTGCGGGCGCAGCCGCTGCCTCCGCTGCCTCCGCTGCTGCGACCCCTCAGAAACCCATTTTCCACTCCAGACCGCCACCACCATGGCCTCGGCCGTGGTGGCGGCCAGCGCAAGGCGGGCCAGAGAGGTGCTTTACCCCGCCACACCCCACCACACCCCGTCACACCTCGCCACTGAAAACTTGTGGAGCAAGGACGACGCGCAGCGCTGCGGAAAGGGGAAGAGGAAGAGGGTGTGTCAAACGGGTTGCCTATTCAACAGGCGGGGCGGGCGGGTGTCCCCTTCGCACGGGTGCCCCTCACGGGGGCGGGGCGGGGCGGGGCGCGGCAGGGCTGATCGG